CTCTTTCTTTCTCTTTTTCTCTCTCTATCTCTCTCTTTCTCTCTTTCTCTTTTTTTCTCTCTCTCTCTCTCTCTTTTTCTCTCTCTCTTTTTCTCTCTTTCTCTCTCTCTTTCCCTCTCTCTCTCTCTCTCTCCCTTTCTCTCTGAGAGAGAGAGAGAGAGAGAGAAGAAAACAAATATTTATCTTTCTCTTTCTTTTTTTCTCTCTTTTTTTCTTTCTCTTTCTTTCTCTCCTTAGTGCCGCTTTATTGCCCATAGGATGAGGGACAGCTTGCCTAGGTCTTGTTGGGGCATCGGCTGGTCTCTCCCGGGATTGGAGGCACTCTTGGGAACCATTGCCTCCACCTTGGGCATTTCCGCTAGCAGCAATTCTTCTTGCTATGGGTTTCCCTCTTTCTCTTTCTCTTTCTCTCTCTTTTTCTCTCTCATTCTTTCTTCCTCTATTTCTCTTTCTTTCTCTTTCTTTTTCTCTCTCTCTCTATTTCTCTTTCTCTCTCTCTTTTTTTTGTCCTTTCTCTTTTTTTTCCCTTGTTTTTTTTAATTTTGGTTCTTGTTTTTCTCTTTATTTGTTTTATTGTTTCTTTCTCTTTCCTTTTTCTGTTTGGTTTATTATTTTTGTTTGCTCTCTTTGTTTCTTTTTTGCTTTTTTTTCTTTATTTTTCCTTCTTTGTATGTGTTTTTTTTCATCTTTGATTTTTATTGGTATTGTTATTGATGGAATTAACGGATTTGTTTAGTTTTTTATAAATATATTTTAAATATATATTTTAAAAAATATTTTAATTAATTAAATTTAGGATTTAGATTAAAAATTTAGATTAGATTATTAATTTAGGATTGAAATAAAAATTTAATATAACAAATTAATAAATAATAATAAATTTGATTTTAAGTTTTTAAAATAAAATATTTGGATTAATAATTAAATTAAACTAAATTAAACTATTATATTTATGAGAAGAAAAACATGGATTTTGTTGAAAATATTTAATTAATTTTTGTTTGATGGGTAGTTATATGTTAAGATAGAGATTATTTGCTTAAGTGTTATAGAAAAGGGTAGGTTATAATAATATATTATGTATGTGTATTTAAGTATTTAGTATATAAATTTTATTAAAATATATAATTATTATAAATTAAATTATAATAATTAACAAAAATTATCATAAAACCCAGCACTAAAATAATTTAAAAAAACAATAAACATTAAACTATAAAAATCTATAATAATTAACACCAAAAACAATTTATACACATAAACGCCAAAAACACTTACCCGCCTCCATAATAATAAGCGCCTAAAACGCCCAAAACATACAAACCCCATAAACTATCTTAAAAAACACATATTTATATATTTATTTTTGTATTTATAAATATATATAAATATATTTATATTTGTATAATATTACACATACATTCACATATACTTAAAAACGGCCTCGAAAGCTAACGCTTTTTTCTGGCAGGATCGAACATCCCGTAAGCGTCTTTAAGGGTTATAACAAAATATATATCCATTCATAATCGATCCGCCCGATGGTAAAAGAAGATCTATGGAATGTATTTTAATACGAAACAAATATAAAAATGTATCGACCCTAAAGCTTCCTTAAGGGTTATAACAAAATGCGGGTTAGGGGAGATAAAGGTATGCTGAGCACGGCTGGGGCCCCGTAATAACAGAGCCACGGCTCGCCGATGTTCATATCGCGCATACTTCTTACCCATAAAAGCAGTCCCAAACACATAGTAAAAGCATGTAAAAATCACCGCGCGGGACCGGAGTTAATTAGTAACACAAATAGTATGGCCAACACAGTAACTTCTATCTGATTATGTAATATATCCCCCGCCCCTAATCCGAAAATACCACGAAAAATAAAACCCAAACGCATAACCGCAATCTCGATATATAACAAAAACTCGAACTAAGTTCTCAAGCTATCACACACGCACACAAACACAGAGAGCTAATTAGCAGCGCAAACGGCATAACTAACACAATGACTTCCATCTAATTATACAACATACCTCCTTCCCCTAACCCGAAAATACCACGAAAAATGAATTCCAAACGCATAACTACAATCTCGATATAACACAAAAACTCGACTTAAGCTCTAAAACTATCACACACGCATCCAAACACATAAAGCCGATTAGTAACACAAATAACATAGCCAACATTATAGCTTCTATCTGGTTATATAACACACTCCCCTCTCCTAATCCGAAAGTACTATAAAAAACAGACACACACATTTTCTACTCATACGCACACACGATACACACACACAAACACACACGCACACACGCACATACGCACACACGCATATACGCATATAACGCACACATACGCACACACACGCATACACGCGCACATGCACGCACACACACGCGCACACGCGCACACACACACACATACACACACACACACACAGACACACAGACACACAAACACACAGACACACACGCACACTCTCTCGCTCATACTCACGCTCATGCAGCCTTAAGAGAGGCGCGCTGCAGGCGGTCCAAGCGGGATTCGAGCCCATCCCCCCATCATCCCCCCCCCCCTAAATGGGCCCTCGATTCGAGCTTAAAGGGTTAGGGGGGGGGTTCCCTGCATTATCATTATTTAGCGGGGGGGGGCCCTATTTCACATGCCGTGAAAAACAAGCCTAAACGTTTAACTCCATCTTTGGACCCAATCCTCCTAGTAGACAAAAACTCTAGCTTATTTTTAAGGAGTTAGCTTTTATGATTATATTGCATTTTATTATATAATATTAGCTTTGATATTTAGAAAGAATTACATTTAGGACTAAGAGGCGGGTGCTTATGCAGGACTGCATAAGCTTAGATGCCCTTCTATTGTGCGCCAAATGAAAGCTGAAGTTATGTGCGGCTCCTAGCTATTAGCTGTCCTGCTAGAATCTGCTGAGCCGGATGCATCTGCTGATCTTTGGTGGACGATTGAACCCGATAAGCACTTGTCGGCGCCGTTGGAGCCTGGGTTATGGGCGCTAGAGTGATCTTCATCAGTTTGACTACGCAGCATAACTTTCAATCGTTCGGAAGCTTAGCTATCCACACTTTCGGGCCGGGCATCGTATGCCCATGCAACAGGAAATACGCAGGTTCCTGGTGGCAAAATCCTGCAACATGACGTTGTGGCGACAATACTCCTGTTGGATGCCAGCGGGTGAGTGCAGGTAAAGGTGTAGCCTGTCGCTGGCGAGCATTGCCTGCCATGTAGGCAGACAGCATTGCATTCTCGTTTGAGTGCTTTGTGGCACTAGCGAAGCTTTGTAGTTGAGGGCTTTTGACGTGGCCAGAGTTTGCCTCTCAAGCTTGGCTTTCCCTGTGCAAAATGGCTTTGCAAGCACAAACCGAGACGCTGCTGGCACAGCCCAGCGAGGCTCCAAGCCCAAGCCTTTCCAACTGGGAGGTTGTCTCGGAGCAGCCTGCAAGCGGAGCAAGCGCTTCGGTCGATGGATCGCCAGTGTCTTCCGAGGCGGATGACCTGGTTGCCCACTTTACGCAAATGAAGCTGCCGGACGCCAAGCGCTGGGCCAGGAAGTTTCGCACGGCTGGCTACTGCGACATGGACGAGTTGGGGGAGGCAGATTTGGCAGCAGTCTTTGAGGAGCTGCAGGTGCCTTCTGGCATCCGGACAAAGATGGCGAGGGGGATGTCCGAGTTTAAGGCGGGGAACTTTGCAACCGCCTTCCCCATGCCAGCCGGGGATCTGGATGCCACAGCGCCGGTGAAGGCGAATGAGATCAACTGGGGCCGGCTAGCGGTTGGCGCGGGGCTGGTGGTGGCAGCTGGCGCGGCAGTTGGAATTACGGCAGCGTTGAGGGTGGCTATGGCCCAGGGCACAACCATTGCAGCCACTGGCATCTTTGTAGCAGGCGATTGCCTGGATGGCGATGCCTTGATCATTATGTCTGATCGATCCCAGAAAAAGATCAAGAACATGAGAGCAGGTGATCAGATTCTGGCATTCAATGCGGGCAAGATGAAGGTCAAGCAAGTCCTGAAGGCAGGGCTTTGTTTTTTGCTTTTGGTGTTTTGGGGTTAATAAAAATACAATACAAGTAATGCTGCGAAAGCCTTGCTGGTGACACTCGTCCAGGTGGAAACTGGCAAGAGCAGCTCGATGAGGGCTCTCACCCTTCGCCGCGCCACAGGGGGAGAGTTCATCATCAAGGCCACAGCAGGCCACCCTTTCTACACCAAGGCAGCTCTGGGGCGTTGACTTTCCAAGCCCGTGAGACACAAGCCCCAAAAAATGGTAAAAAGGTGCCGGAGTGGGAGTTGAATCCGGGATTGAAGCCACCAATTCAACGGTGCAGAGTTCCAAGTAGCAAGCGGACGAGCAGCTCCCGTCTGCTTTTGGATGTTGTGCAATTCAGCCCAGGCGAACGGTTGGGCAGTTCTGGACCCCGTAGCCGGTCACTTCGACAAGTCGAAGCCTGTGGCAAAACTGGCCGTTGGAGAGGAGCTGGTCCTGCATCGGGGCAATCTGGCGAAGGTAGCTCAACTGGTGCAAGTAGGCGCATTCGAAGCTCTTGTTTGTTTTGGTCGAGACTTGGATTTCTTGAAGGCAACTGCAACACATGTTCTGCTTAACAGCCCCTTTTGAGCATCAGTGAGCAACCCTTTTGACATGCCGTCTGAGGTGGTGGATATCGGACCATTGCTGCAGCGGCAGGACACCTTCAACTTGCACGTGGACGGCCCGGGCACCTTCTTCGCTGAAGGCATTTTGTCGCACTCAGGGCTGCCCCCACTCACGAAGAAGTGAGGGCAGCTTATCGACTCGGGCCATGTCCGCCGTGCAGGGGTGGTGCTTGTGGTCCTGTCGCTTTTAAGAGTACGCAGCAAGTTGCTGACAGAAACGTGTACCATGTACAGGTCAGGTAGTGGCCCATCAAGCCCTCTGTGCTATTATCTTACCACGGAAAGTTTGAGCAGCTGTCCTCGTTGGGGATGCCTCAGTGCTATCATCGAGGCTCAATGATTTAGATCTTTTGGATGCCACAAGCCGCAAGCTGTGTGTTCTCATCGCCAGCCAGCCAAACTTTCCAGAAAGGCCAGGCATAGTATGCCTCGCGCACAACGCGCGCCAAACAAGAAAAAGTATGCCGCATGCTTCGCAATGACCAAACACACACACACACACACACACACACACACACACACACACACACACACACACACACACACACACACACACACACACACACACACACACACACACACACACACACACACACACACACACACACACACACACACACACACACACACACACACACACACACACACACACACACACACACTCACACACCCACACACACACACACACACACACACACACACACACACACACACACACACACACACACACACACACACACACACACACACACACACACACACCCACGCACGCACGCACACACACACACACACACACACACACACACACACACCCACGCGCACGCGCACGCGCACGCGCACGCGCACGCGCCCGCGCACGCGCACGCGCACGCGCACGCGCACGCGCACGCGCACGCGCACACGCACACACACACTGAACTCCAGATGGAGGAGTGCTAATCTTTCGAGTACAACTGATGAGTTCGAGTACAACAGATGAGTTTCGAGTACAACCGATGAGTCTCGAGTGTAAAGAAAGTTCGGCTTGCCGTCACGTGATATCCCTCTAGAGACGAAACCGTTACAGGGTTCAACATGAAGCACACACAGCGGCAAAGAAGAGGGCCAAAAGGACTTTCAGAATCACTCAAAAGGTGCAGGTACACAAGGCTGATCAGGCCTTGCTTCCCACTCTCACCCACAGCTTCATTGCGTGTGGTAGGATGAGAGTGCCACACGCCCCTGCTGCGAAACTGAACGGGTGGTGACAGGGCATTCTGTCACTCCGCACACACACGCCCCTCTACGAGGGGCGAGGTTTCTCTTTTCTCCTGCAGGAAGATCACATGCTCAAACTCAAATCACTATCGTTGACCAAAATATCCACCACGGCGAGGGGAGCGAGACACTGCCCTAAACCGCTCAGAAGACGGGAACGAAAGATCACAACGTTGAGCATTGCGAGTGTCGCCATAGAGGACTGAAGCGATCTGCGAAGCAGCCGGGCGATCACCATGAGAAAACGGAGTGGCATAGGTGAAGGTCTCCTCAACTTGAACGGCATCGGAGTTCCGACCTTGACCAAGAGTCTGATCATGTGAATAGTGAGTTGCGAAGGACTCAATCCGAGACAGAATGCGCTGGTACCCTTGGTGTTGCCAGTCACGGATGTCCCATGCCTGGACTGGCGCTTCGGGATCCGTCACCCGCTGCCATTCACGAAAAGAGTTTTCAGGTAGATCAGGTACGGCGTCACCACGGTGCCATCGTTGAGGTTGTCCCGGAGTGTATATCCGCACCCACTCCTGATCATGCCAGACCGAATATTCGAGCCATGGATGCTGCTTGGAATCATCGATGTCCATGTCGAGGCAAGAGGCAAGGATGGTCGCGGGCTCCGATCCAGCTGGTAGATGAACAAGCACCATGCACAACCATGTTCAAACAACAGCAAAGCAAGATCATGCAAGTGTAGAGGCCACCCTTATTTTGTACGCTGCGCTGCTCATGCAAGGCTAGTCTTCAGTCAGCTCGAAGACGGGCCTCATCTTGTCTTGGCCGCTGTCGGACGGATTCACGGGCCTGTAGGGGTCGGAGACCCCAATCGTCTCCGATGGTGTGTTGCCACGCGATGCACGTACTGGTTGATGAGGATGGGAGGTCAGACGTGCGCGGGCCGTCAGTTGTTGAGAAATCCCCTCCTGGAGACGAGTCAGTTCTTCAGTGGAGAAATCAGCCGCATCCGAGGACCTGAGAATCGCGTCTAAGAGCTCCGGTGACATACTCAATGCCGCAGACTGCGTGGCCACGTTATGGTGATCGGAGGGATACATGGAATCAAATTCATGACCAGCGTGAGGAGCAGCGATTCTCCGATAGCCCTCTGTGGCCCAGTCACGCTTGTACCACGTAGTGACTTGGACTTGCCCTTCGACTGAGTCCTGGTTGGGAGCATAGAACTCCCGCCATTCTCTGAAAGTATGCGGAGGAGGTGGAGCATCATGTTCTTCTTGAGGCGTCCATGGTCCCGGATGAAAGATCTTGACCCACTGGGCATCTGGTTGTTGAGGGTCCGGGCACCATTCCAGCCACGGCATGACAACGCAACCACGGAAAGACAAGTTGATAGGTGTACGGCTGCAGACAACAACGAGTGAAAGCAAATCAACTATCAAAATGCAAAAGACCACTTTTGTAGCACTGTGCGGCGCCAACATCACAGTCAGACTCTCCAGGGAGGCGAGGACGGGCATCAGCTATCATGTGAATTAGATGATGCCGAAGAGGAGGTCATTCCAGCACACATGAGGTCCGGTGCACCCGAAGCGAAAACTGGCCTCGCTATGCTGGGATGTGGACGACCCAGGCGTTGGTACCCCCTGGTGACCCAGTCCCTGTAATACCAAGTGTAGAAGGTGGCGTAGGATACCGGTTGCAGATCCGTGCCTATAGTTGTGCCGCCCGTGCTTTCCCTGGGCCAGTACACTTCGAAGTGGTAGACCTTGCGCCATTCCCGATAGGCGGTCGGGTCATCCGGGGCCGGTCCCAGGGTGTCAGGGGCGACTGGATGCCACTGACCCGGCACATAGATTCGAATCCATTCCACCCTCGTTCCTGCTGGTCCATTGACGATGTCATAGTCAAAATAGCGAGGTAGGACCCATCGTGCTGCACCCTGCACCGTACTATTGAACATTTCAACCCGACAAGCTGCTCAAAGTTATCACAGAGAGCGGCGGACACATATAGACCACATGCACAGCACCAAGCAAGACAACCCAATGAGAACTCACATACAAAGCACGCACAACCGCATCTTTGTCCAACATGCAACTCAAGTGTCAATCCGAATCATTCCAAGGATCATGAAATGGTGGCGGTGACGGTTCCCGCCACGCTCCATCAGGTACCGACGAGCCCACCGAGGACTCGATGTCTGCGTTGGCGAGCATCGCGAGTCCGATGGATTGGACAGGAGGTCCAAGTCGTTGGTACCCTCGCGTTTGCCAGTCTCGGTACTCCCACACGTGATAGGACACATAGGAACTGGGCGTGGCAATAGGATCCATTGTGGTGCCTCCGGTGCTGTCATCAGACCAGTACACTTGGAAGTGATATGATCTGCGCCACTCCCGAAACGTGGAAGCGTAGAGTGGGTCCGGAACTGGCGCCTCCTCAGGAACGGGCCTCCAAATGCCCGGAGAGTAAATTCGATCCATTCCACTCCTCTCTCGATCTGGTACTCGAAATACTGGGGGTTCATAGCAGCAATACGGGCTTGCACGACTGCTAAACCAATCGAAAATCTGCGGCAAGGACACACATGCATTGCTAACCGCACACATCCACTGAGGAGCGAGGCAACTTTTCAAACACAAGGTGAAACGGGTCAACGAGGTCTGAAATGTCTGACACCTGGCTTTCACTGTCTTTGATGTCGCGCACACCTGCAATGATAATGACCTGGTCGTCTACGTGCACAAGGGGAAAGACATTTCCGTCCATGGCGCAGGATGGCGTGACAGTAATGTTTGCATGTTGCCGATGGGGATCGCGATGAACGGCCAGCACGTTTGGAATAAAACACTGTAAAGGGCCGTCGAGATCGCCGCGGCGCTGAAGCTGATGCTGTCCGAGATCGTTTGGACGAGCGGCCTGGACTGCGTGGTACTTCATCACGGGAAGGGTCAGTGCTGTAGATCGAGCGGCGTGTGCGCTGCGATTTCAAAGAGGTAGGGCAGGATTGTCCGCGAGGGGCTGAGATCGAGGGGCTGCGTACCGAGGGCATAAACTGGGGGTGTAGAATCACCGGTGGTGGTGGTGGTGGAGGAGGAGGTGGAAGAAGCAGTGGCAGACTTGGCGGGGGCGGAGGCGACGTAGTCAGCCGAATGGGTCTGTCGAGTAGAGCCCCGGGTCCATGAAATTGTAACCACGTCGGCTGCGCTCCATGGGTCCAGGTAATGTACGTCTGTACAACTTGTTCTGACATGATTTGAGCAACTCAGGCAAGACATCACTGCATGTCAACGACATCTCGCGACACGACAAGCAAGATTGAGTCACGTGCAAGCAAGCAAGTATCATGTGATCAACAACTCAAACCGGACACACCGCCGCCGCTTATCATTTGGTCCATCAATGGTCGCTGCTGCATTTGCCGGGCTTGTTCCTAGCTGCGAGCCTCAAGTTGTTGATAGACCTTCCATGCCTGCTTGACTTCCTCAATCGGCTTCTGAAGAAACCGCGCAATGGTCTTATAGGTGGGCCTGGAATCCTTATCTTTCTTCCGTCTCACCATTTCATCCAGCTCGCCCTGTGTCCATGCCGTGAAAGGTTCACGGTATGCATTGCGAAGTGCAATGGTAAATTCTTGTAGAAGTTCCCGAGGACCATGAACCACCGTCGGCGACGGCCGGAACGACGAGGCACCTGGATGCGGATGTACCGAACCATCAGAATCCGAATCCGGTGTCGTGGGCGTCGTCTGTCCTGGTTCTCGTCCACCGTGTGCCGCGAAAGGAGCAAGAGGACGAGGCGGTGGCAGTCGATCTAACACAGATTCGGGCCGAGTACCAGGATTGTGTTCACTAGCATCACGATGTGCGGCTCGAGGCGGGGACAAAGCCGGTATGTACCAGGTAGATGACGTGTCCACCGGTCGAGCCCGAATGCGTGTGGGGGATCGAGATCGGTCAGAGGAGGCGAGCTCCGTGATGATGCGGGGCCGCAACCCATGTCTGGAGTTTCTTGGTGCTCTCGGGGTCACCACCGTGTCTGTCGGACGACCACGCTCCGTCATCAAGGCAAAGTTCAGTGTGTCCAAAGCT